AGGGAGAGGATGCTGGGACAGATTAGGAAAGAATTCTGCAAACTAGTACATTAGTGGGATGCACTTCAAATACCGCGGTTACATCGGAGTTTTAAAAAGTCAATTTGTTTGGTGCTAAATGGTACATTAGTGGGATAGTACATTAGTGGGGTGCACTTCATATCTGAGAGTCAAATAGAATCGTCAAATACTGCTGTCACATTGCAGTTTTAAAACTTTTACTTTTTTGGGTGCTAAACTGCTAAATAGTATTTTAGTGGGGTGCACTTCATATCTGACAGTCAAGTAGAAGCGTCTAATAGTGTGCTTACAGCGCAGTGGTAAACATTCTAATTATTTTGCTGCTAATCTGCTAAATAGTACATTTTGGGGCGTGCACTTCATATCTGAGAGTAAATAGAAGCGTCAAATACTGCGGTTACAGCGCAATTGTAAACATTCTAATTGTTTTGCTGCTAAATAGTACATTTTGGGGCCCACTCTCCATATCTGAGAGTCAAATAGAAGCATCTAATAGTGTGGTTATATCGCACTTTCAAAAATTATAATTTTTTTGGTGCTAAATAGTGCATTTGCGGCCTGCAGTGCATTTCTTGCAGTCCAATAAACTAAAAAAAAAAAAAAAATAGTTGAATGTTGGCGGTTACATTGTCGACTGACATAAAACATCTGTTAGTTTGGTGGGTGAACGCAAAGTATGAGGAGAGCGTCAAATAAAGGACATGGCCCTGGTCGTGGTGCCAGAAAGGTCTCAGACTCCTCCTGCTTCCTCTTCTGCTGCTGTGTCGGCCTCTTCCTCCACCTCTGGAGTCACAGTGGCACCTGCCATCCTGCAAACAGAGGATGTGGCAGCAACGCCACTACGTCTGCCACCGTCCCCAAGCATCTCCACACTGTCCCATGGAAGCGTTCAGCTGTCCATCTCCCAAACATTGGAGAGAAAGAAATACCCCCCTAGCCACCCGCAATCCCTGGCCCTGAATGCCAGCATTTCAAAATTCATGACCTTTGAAATTCTGTCATTCCGTCTAGTGGAGACGGACCGTTTTAAAAACCCGATGGCGGTGGCTGTCCCATAGTAAGTGGTTCCCAGCCGCCACTACTTTTCCAGACGAGCCATCCCTTCCCTGCACAACCAATTGGAGGACAAAATTAGGTGTGCATTGCGCTACTCCATCAGTGACAAGGTCCACATAACCACAGATACATTGACAAGAAAGCACGGGCAGGGATGCTATATCTCCCTAACTGCACACTGGGCAAATGTAGTGGCGGCTGGGCCTGAGGCGGATAGCAGTTTGGTGCATGTCCTTCCGCCACCGAGGATTGCAGGGCATTTCTCTTTGCCTCCTACTCCTACTCCGCTTCCTCCTCCTCTACCACCACCTCATCCAGGCAGCGTAACACCTTCACCACCAACTTCAGCACAGCCAAAGGGAAATGACAACAGGCTGTTTTAAAACTCATATGTTTGTGGGGAAAAACCCACCAACAACAGACCGATGAGTGGTTCTTGCAACTGAGCCTCAAGCTCGGCCTTATGGTGTGCGATAATGGGCAAAATCTTGTAGCAGCTCTGGGCCTAGCCGGGTTGATGCACATCCCTTGCCTGGCGCATGTGCTGAATTTGGTGGTGCAGAAATTCCTGAAAAACTACCCAGATATATCAGAGCTGCTGCAGGAAGTGCGGGCCTTCTGTGCGCGCTTTCGGCGTTCTCATCCTGCTGCTGCTCGTCTGTCTGTGCTGCAGCATAACTTCGGCCTTCTCGCTCACCGTCTCATATGCGATGTGCCCACAAGGTGGAACTCCACCTTGCACATGCTGGAGAGACTGTGCGAGCAGCAGCAGGCGATAGTGGAGTTTCAGATGCAGCACGCACGGGTCAGTCGCTCTGCAGAACAGCACCAGTTCACCACCAATGAGTGGGCCTCCATGCGAGATGTGTGTGCCATTTTGCGCTGTTGTGAGTACTCCACCAACATGGCCAGTGCTGATGATGCCGTTCTCAGCCTTACTATCCCGCTTCTATTTCTCCTTGAAAAAACGCTTCAGGCGATGATGGAAGAGGATGTGGCACAGGAGGAGGAGGAAGAGGGGTCATTTCCATGGTTATCAGGCCAGTCATTCACAAGTGTCTTGGAGGGTAGGTTCATGCACCAGCATAAGCCAGGTAAACAATTGTCCAGCCAGGGCACAGTTCTGGAGGATAAGGATGAAGAGGAGGAACCGTGTTCACAGCAGGGTGGCACCCAACGCAGCTCGTGGGCCTCACTGGAGCGTGACTGGGGGGGATACGGAGGACACAGACAATACACCTCCCACAGAGGACAGCTTGTCCTTGCCTCTGGGCAGCCTGGCACACATGAGCGACTACATGCTGCAGTGCCTGCGCAACAACTGCCGAGTTGCCCACATTCTAACTTGTGCCGATTACTGGGTGGCCACCCTGCTGGATCCCCATTACCAGGACAACGTGCCATCCTTAATTCCCTCACTGGAGCGTGATCAGAAGATGCGCGACTACAAGCGCATGCTGGTAGATGTGCTGCTGAGGGCATTCCCAACTGACACCGAGGGCTCAGTGGAAGCACAAGGCAGAGGAGGAAGAAGAGGTCACCAACGCAGCTGGGGCACCACCAGCGCCTCAGAAGGCAGGGTTAGCATGGCCGAAATGTGGAAAAGTTTTGTCAGCACACCACAACAACCAGCACCATCAGCTGATATGGAACGTCTTAGCAGGAGGCAGCATTTCAGCAACATGGTGGAACAGAACGTGTGCACACGCCTACATGTACTGACTTCTGGGTCTCCAAATTGGGCACATGGCCTGAGCTTGCCCTGTATGCCTTGGAGGTGCTGGCCTGCCCTGCAGCCAGTGTATTATCTGAACGTGTGTTTAGCACGGCAGGGGGCATTATCACAGACAAGCGCAGCCGACCTGTCCACAGCCAACGTGGACAATCTCACATTTATTAAATTGAACCAGGCATGGATCCCACCAGACTTGTCTGTACCTTGTGCAGAATAGACATTTATAGCGGCCTCATCCAGCCATTGTTATACTCAAGTGCACTTATTCTTAGTTTTTTTTATATGTCCCAATATTTTGGGGGCTACCCCAATAAAAAACAAACAAACAAACAAAAGTGTTGGCTACCTCCTCCTCCTCCACCACTGCTTCCACCTACACCACCACGGTCACCACCTCCTCAACCTATGGGTCACTTAGTATAAACCATGTACACAATAGCAGAGGCTTGTGAAGGCCTTTTCTCCATGCATCAAGACTGCAAGAAATGCACCGCAGGTCGCAAATGTTTCTTTTTTTATATGTCCCAATATTTTGGGGGATACCACAATTAAAAATAAAAAACAGTGTTGGCTACCTCCTCCTCCACCGCCGCTTCCACCTACACCGCCACAGTCACCGCCTCTTCAACCTATGGGTCACTTAGTATAAACTATGTACACAATAGCAGAGACTTGTGAAAGCCTTTTCTCCATGCATCAGGAGTTGAGCTCAGTTTTAACAATAAAAGAGAATACCCTGCACTCCAACCCTCTCTCAAATGGATAATTCTGATGATCCTCCTGACAGCCATGCTTTAGATTTTGATTTATGTTCTTCCAAAGGTAAAATCAAAGATTTCATCTAGTGCTATTTTATGGCTCAGCTGTATTTTTAATTTTTATGTTATTTCAAGTGATTTCCCTATCCACATTTGTTTGCAGGGCACTTGTCCTACTCTTATCCCCATTTTACTTCCTTTTGCAGCTCTCTAGACCTTTCCAGGAGTTTTTTAGAGGCAATTTTGTGCCCAAAGTTCGGGTCCCCATTGACTTCAATGGGGTTCGGGTTCGGGATCAAGTTCGATCACGAACTCTGACTTTTTTTCAAAGTTCGGCCAACCCGCCGGACCCGAAAATCCAGGTGTCCGCTCAACTTTATTCAAAAGGTTTCTTTGTGATTAATTTGTTAGAAAATAAGTATTCTTATACTGGTTCCTTAATAGTTGGCAGACGGCAGTGCATATTCCTACTTGAGAACAGGACAGCTAAGTTTACTTTCGTTTTTAGCTTAGTACATTCAGATGTTTGGTACCAAATAATTGTAGTGAGGAACTGCTAGAATACTTAAGTAAAATCTTAATAGCAGGTCAAATTCTTATGAAAGAACTCGAATAGGACACTGGGTATGTTTAGGTGTCACCTTGCAACAAGTGGTAATTTTCCATCATTTGACCACTGCTAACAGAGTTGGATTATCAAAGCTGCTTTCATACCTGACTAATGTTCAAGTAATGCTATCTAAAGGTGTTATCTTCAGGCACTGACTGCAGGTAGCATATTTTATATAGCATAGGTAGCATATTGTATGTGGTTTGGTAAAAGATAGCAGTGAAAGCTTTTATAATTAAATAGTTGTTGAGGGGTTATTTTTTAGGTAAAGGTTGTGAAGCATCCTATCCCTTATATGTTAGCATATTACTTGAAGTTTTGGGAATGTTATTTATTTATTTTTTTAAAATGTATTAGTTTTTATTGGTATTTAGCGAATAATACATGGAGGACATGAAAATTACATCACAGTTTGCCTGATACAAATACAAGTCAAAGGGTGTACAACTAAGGGAGGTAGGTAACAGGTCTGTACAGGTGTAGATTGGTCTCATCACACCTGAATTGTCAAATGCCTGTCGCAATGCGCCTTGACTTGTTACTTAAAAAATTTAGAAACATATAAATGCAGAACATATAAATACACAAATATATAAACATGTAAGTAGAGGCATACATAACCATATTTTGTTCTTTTCACATCAGGAAGTGTGGTAGCGAGTGAGTTTGGAGCTTCTGCGGGCTTAGTCACGAATTGTGTCTTACGGCTCTCTCGGTTGTATTTAGGACCTGGGTGCTACCTCATGTGGGAGGTGTGTGTATGGTGCATCTGGTGCTTATGTTCCGGGCACTGCAGCCCGTCGTAAGTTGTGGTATCTACCCCTTTAGATCGGTCACCGAGATGTTGAGTATAATGTTTGTTGTGCGTGGCCTTGCTTGGCAGGTCATCGGGGTGTGTTTTTGGTGTACTTGCTTGCCTCCTGTGTTTGTCGGGCCTATACGGCTTCCCTTCAGATTGTCTTGGTGTGAGTGTTTTCTTGGTGTGAGTGGACGACATGGCGAGTTCTTAGGAGTTCAGTATGCGGCATGTTACTTTTATCTAGAATTGAGCGGACACCTGGATGTTCGGGTTTGGCCGAACTTTGAAAAAAGGTCCGGGTTCGTTATCGAACTTGAACCCGAACCCCATTGAAGTCAATGGGGACCCGAACTTTTGGCCACAAAAATGCCTCTAAAAAACTCCTGGAAAGGGCTAGAGGGCTGCAAATGGAAGTAAAATGGGGGTAAGAGTAGGACAAGTGCCCTGCAAACAAATGTGGATAGGGAAATCACTTAAAATAACTTAAAAATTAAAGATACAGCTGAGCCATAAAATACCACTTGATGGAATCTTTGATTTTAGCTTTGGAAGAACATAAATCAAAATCTAAGGCATGGCTGTCAGGAGGATCAACAAAATTATCCATTTGAGAGATGGCTGGAGTGCAAGGTATTCTCTTTCATTATTCAAACTGAGCTAAACTCCTTATGCATGGAGAAAAGGCCTTCACAAGCCTCTGCTATTGTGTACATAGTTTATACTAAGTGACCCATAGGTTGAGGTGGCCGTGACTGTGGCGGTGTAGGTGGAAGTGGAGGAGGAGGAGGTAGCCAACACTGTTTTTTATATATCTATTTTTTATTTTAATTGGGGTAGCCCCCATATAAAAAAAAGAAACATTTGCGACCTGCGGTGCTTTTCTTGCAGTCCTGATGCATGGAGAAAAGGCCTTCACAAGCCTCTGCTATTGTGTACATAGTTTATACTAAGTGACCCATAGGTTGATGAGGCGGTGACGGAAGCGGCGGAGGAGGAGGAGAAAGCCAACACTATTTACATATATCTATTTTTAATTTTAATTGGGGTAGCCTCCAAAATATTGGGACATACAAAAAAAGAAAACTGTTCCACAGAGCGACTGACCCATGCATGCTGCATCTGAAACTCCACTATCACCTGTTGCTGCTCGCACAGTCTCATGAGGCGGTGAGCGGAAAGGCCGAAGTTACGCTGCAGCGCAGGCAGGCGAGCAGCAGCAGGGTGAGAATGCCAAAAGCGTGCACAGACGGCCCGCACTTTCTGCAGCAGCTCTGATATATCTGGGTATACACCGTGGCATCACAAGGGCCACCCAGAACTGGCTGAACTCCCATCAAGCCAAGTTCCCAGAGGAGATCACCCAGCTCGTTATCCTAGAGCACTTTTTCAATGTGCTCCCCAACAAGAAGGCGACGACGCATTCGTATATCAATCCATGTCAACTTTCGATCCCATTGACTGCACCTACCATGGTTACCACGGGTAACGGGGAATCAGGTTTCAATTCCTCCAAACTGCACACGTCACTCGCATGACCTTTATTCCATGTGGGGTCCAGGACCTCATCATCCTCCACATCATCTTTCACCCACTCCTCAACCCTGCCCTCCTTGCCGGTATGCACACTGCAGAAAGCCACAGCAGTTGGCACCTGTGTTTTTCCAGCATGTAAAGTCTGCAAAGGACATATGGAAATTGTTTTAGAATTTTATCCAGGCAACAGTTTTCCCTATAAACTGACCTCTCAGTTTGACTTGTGAGGGTATTGCTCCAGAATTACAATATTGTTTAACCCCTTAAGGACCAAACCTCTGGAATAAAAGAGAATCATGACACGTCACACATGTCATGTGTCCTTAAGGGGTTAAGTACCTCTTAGCTATGAATAACTGGTTTAAATATAGCAGCTTGTTATCTGTTAGTTTCTAGTGTGGAAAACAGATTGATATTTTCTATCTCTTAGATCTGTGTAACAAGTGTTGTAGGTGTGAAACAATATTACAAGTAAACAATATAGTAAATTTGAATCAAAGTTCCATTTCAAAAACAAATTCTCGCCCATCTTCTGTGGGTTATTGAATTTTTAAGATGTAGACTTATTGTATCACACTAGCCATGCACAGGTAGATTGTCTGGCACATTGTTTTGGTGTTTGGTTTTTAACTTTGTAGTTTTGTCTTTACACAATATAAAAATGTATATTAATGCTTCTGTATATGAAGCGATAACAATAACACTTATTTTTCACTTTTTAAAAGAAAATCAGGCTAAACAAAAATTGGTAATTAACAATATGACATCTGAAAAGCACATGAAAGGATGCTGTATGATTTTTTTTTTTTTTTAAATACACTACATGAAGGTCCTGTTCACTAGAGTGTGTAGTCATGAATGTAACCAGTAAAACTTTGTTTTTACAGCCACTGGTTGGCCCATATATAATTTAAAACTTGTTTAATTTTGTTATAGCATGACTTGTAGTCTTGTATTTAACTTGTCTATAATACATATTTTTGTATGACAGTGTGTTTTTTCATTGATTATTGAATTTGAATGGTCTAAGATAATTAACATGTCAACAGGCAAACGTAACCCGAATGATGTGTCTCAGTCTTGCCTTCTATACTACCTGCACCATAGGCAACATTTATTTGTCTTTAGACTTTCTTGAGAAGTGGTAACTAGCCGGTGTTGCACACATACTCCAGATGTGAAGTGCACACCCCAAATGCACTATACAGCATCAAGAATATTAGAATGTTTACAGCTGCGCTGTAAGCACACTATTAGACTCTTCGATTTGACTCTCAGATATGAAGAGCAGGCCCCAAAATGTACTACTTAGCAGATAAGCAGCAAAACAATTAGAATGTTTACAACTGCGCTGTAACCACAGTATTTGAAGCTTCTATTTGACTCTCAGATATGAAGTGCACCCCACTAATGTACTAGTTTGCAGAATTATTTCCTAAGCTGTCCCTCACAGCGGCAGCATCCTCTCCCTACACTAATAAGACCTCATGTGCGTGCAGCGCTACGCAACTCCAGCTTATATATAGAGGCTGGGTCACATGCTGCACTGGCCAATCAGAGCCATGCCATTAGTAGGCATGGCTGTGATGGCTTCTAAGGGCACACGAGTCAAACACTTGTTGATTGGCTGCCCTGCAGCCTTTGAAAATTCTCCATTAAATCACCGAACACGGAACTCCAACCAGAACATATAGTGATATGTCCGTGTTCGGGTCCAGGATCCAAAAAACGTAATGTTACAGTCTGGGTTCGCTCAACTCTACTTTTGACTTGTGGAGCAGACCTGATGTGTAATATATATTGTCTATGAAGTTATAGCACCAGTATAGTGGTCGTTGGTAGGTAGTTCCTGGTGTGTTGGGTTCGTAGTTAGTGGTCGGGGCTCGAGAGGGTATGGGGGGTGGCCGGTGGGCTTAGTTGGGGAGAGGGAGGATGGTAGAGTTGGGAGGGAAAGGGGGAAGGTTTGAGAATCTAGGAGATCGGAGCTGGGTTTGGGTTCCTCTATTGTACCTTAGGTTTTTCCATAGAGAATCGCTTATGTAGGTTCTTACTTAGTTGTGAACCTCTCCCACAGTCCCCACACGTCTCTGAAGAGGGGATATTTGTGGGTTACGGATGCATGGATTTCCTCCATGGTTTTAATTTCATCAACTTTTGCAATCCAATCTCAGAGGGTGTGTTGGGGTTTTTCCATTTTACAGGAATGAGAGAGTTGGCAGCTATGAGAAGATGTGCGACTAGAGTGCGTAGTGTCCTTGGGAGGGGGCAGTGTGGGATCAGAAACAACATTGTGTGGGGCATTTTGGGGAGCTGTAGCCCTGTCATGGTTCTGATCATTAAGAGGATGTTGTTCCAGTATGCTGTATCCGCGGGCAGTACCAGCAAGTATGTGCCAGTGATGCCCCCTGTTAGTGACATTTCCAGCAATCTCTCGAAGTGTGCGGGAAGAACGTGTGCAATTTGGCAGGTGAATAGTGCCACCAAGATATTCTCTTGTAGCTACTTTCCTGCAGCCTGGTGCAGATTGAGGTTTTGTGTATTTGGGAAAATATTGTTTTCCATTGGGGCGCTGTGAGTTGGATGTTGAGATCCGTCCTCCAAGCTTCTGTAAAGGAGGGTAGAGGGTTATTGTGTTTAGTTTGAATGAGTCTATAGAAGGTTAAGAGTTGTTTAGTTGTAACTTTGTGTATCTTACAGTGTATCTCATAGTCTGTGAGTGAGCGAGATCCTGTCAGTAGTGTCGGGTTGGCCTTTAGGAATTGAGTAATTTGCGCATAATAAAATGCTGCCATCGTGTTCGGTGTATTCGGCCCCAACAAGCTAGTGAGAGAATGGATAGTGTTGTCTTCCAGGATGCTTCCTAGAGTGAGGTAAAGCCTATCAGTAGCAGGTGTTATCTGTTGGTAAGTATTGGCCTGCAGTCCCAGTGGAAAGAGCGGGTTGCGAGTAATTGGGTATAGAGGTGATGGGTGTGGCAAGATGTTCTGGAGTTCCCTTATGCATCCCCTATCATTCTATGTAAGGTTGGCCCAGTCCTCCACTAAGCTTATGTTTAGTCAGGATATCGTAGGGGATTCTGGGTCATTTATGGGCCCAGATGAAGATAGTGAAAAGTTGTCTGAGTTTGGTGAAGTAGTGTTTGGATATGTGTATGGGCAGGGTTTGGAGCAGGTAGAGTACCTTGGGGAGCGTGTTCATCTTAAGGATGTTCCTTCAAAGCCAGTTAAAGTGTGGTTTGTGCCAGGCGGTTGCACCCCTGTCTCATGCCGTTTCGGATGTGGACTGGGTCTGATAGTTGTCCTTTGATCCTTAGTTGCACGGTGGGGGCGGAGTAGATGGCTTGTAGCCATCGCATCCAGTGGGGTCCTATTGTCCTCAGAGTCGCCAGTAGTAGAGTCCAGTCCACCCTGTCAAATGCCTTTTCCGCGTCAATGGAAAGCAGTAGGCTGTCAGTTGGGAGGCATTGTGCGTGATATATCAGATTTAGGAGTTTGGTGTTATGTTTGGCTTTCTTGTTCGGGACAAATCCAGTTTGGCTAGTATTTTGGTAAATATTTTTAGGTCTATATTGATGAGGGAGATCAGGCGGTAGCTACCACGGTTAGTCGGGTCTTTCCCCGGTTTGGGTATAAGGGTAATGTGCGCTTCCAGTGCCGAGGCGGGTAGCGAGGCAGTCTATTTAAGTGAGTTAAAGGCTTGTGTAAAAGGTTCTGTTAGGGTGTCAGCGAACGTCTTATAGTATTTGGCTGTGAAGCCATCAGGGCCGGGACTTTTGCCTAATTGGAGAATCTTGGGTGATCGGGGCTTCAAAGGTTGGGAGAATGGTCGAGGGAAAAATTGGATGATTCGGGAGGTGAGGAATGTGTCAATGTCATGTTCGGATGGAGGGGCGGCCCGAAGGTTGTAGAGCTCTGTGTAGAAGGATTGGAAGGATGACAATATGTCTGCTAGTTTGTAGGACAAGGTTCCTTGCGGTGTTTTGATTTGGAATGTTATATTTTTCATTTCAAAGTATTTTTATTTTTATCAGCTTTTCTTTGGCTTTCTTTGCTAAATTGAGAATTAGTTAGTTTTGTTTAGTAGATTTCAAGTGTCAGGATTGCAGTTTTAGGATTTTAATTATTTTCCTATAAATTTTCAAGTAGGTATTTGTTTGCAAAAAAAAAAAGTCAATAAATACATTTCAGATGGGAAGAGTTAATGGATACAATTGTATCACATCACTGAGGGTGGATTTTGTTTTGTTCAGTCAAAACTTTACGAGTTTATTTTGCTGTTGCACTTGCTGATACCGGCTCCTTTTCTTGTTTATAATTAAGATTGTCCATTAAAACATTTAAAAACCTGCGGGTATTACAGTTACGCTTTGAATACTTGGTTGTGAAGGTAAATAACATGCTATTCTTTCAGGTTCGGGCTGTGGCAATGCAGCTATATTGGATTGGTGCAAATGCAATCAAGAAGATTGGGAGATGGAATCAGACTAGTTTTCAGTTACACGTGTGTAATTTGATTTAATGTCACTTACTCTTGTCATTCTTTTATTTTCAGGTACCATAACAAATGTTTGGATTCTCGGTCACTCAAAGGGTCTGACAGGCCATGCAAAGAGCAAGAGCCAGAATATACGGACGTAACCAGAACTTCAATCAGGGCGATGGATAGTTGATCTGAGATTTTGGAATTGTGCTCATTTGGTTGGATTGTTCTACTTGACCAGATATAGCAGTTTTTTAACCATTCATTTAGTGGTAACAGTGTAAGTTTAGTTAAGCCTGCTTATTGCACGGTTTGAGTTAGTGGATCATTAAGGAATTATTTCCTGTAATCTGTTTATTTTGATCAGAGAGCAAGATGGCCAGCTACAGCTATAGAATCAGGCAAGTAGGCAGTAGTGTAGATTTTATTAAATCTCGTCTTACTGCATTGTTTAATGATTTTAGTTCCCCTTCGTGCATTATTTCCTTCGACGGTTACATTTTGTTCAGGAGTTGGTCCCGTGATTATTATGGTTAAAATAGAGTAACGGTGTTGGAGAAGGTGCACATTACACTGGGTGTTTTACAGACACCTATATGGTAAGGTTCAGATTCATTTGGCAAATATTGGAGTTAATATACTTAAGTTGGAGTTACAAAACATGATGGAAGGGCCTTAGCTGTGGGGGGCCTCAACTAGGGTAGTGTCTACTCAAGTTGGGGCAAAAGTCATCTTCAGGGGTCAGGTTCTGAGGAAGGATATGGTGTTTAATGGATTTAAATAAAAAGCAGTCAGGTTAGTTATAACTGACTGGCAATATTGTGGTTAATAAAGTTAAAAGATTTAAGTAAAACGCGGTCAGGTTAGTCATGACTGACTGGCTATTTGGTGGTTAATAAAGTTAAAAGCGTTGAAAGTTGATGAACCATATGTTATATGGTTATGGTTGTATGCTTTGCTCTGAATAAACACCACGGCCAAGCCCATTGAAAAGTAATTAAACATTGTCTGTGGTTATTGTGTGGTCTCGTTTTATTTATATGAATATTGCTACCATACATAAAGGTGCTTACAAGAAGTGGCTTATACATCTTCTATACCTTTATGTTTTAAAGCCCACTAAAATAATTTCAGATAATTCTTATGGACTCTCTCCTTTCTTTTGACACATAGCACTAATTTTTCCCCAATCAATAGGTTGAGTAAAATCAGTTTTTAATTTTGTTTTGGAGGTTAGTATAACAAAGTGCAAGTTTGGTAAGGTCTCTTTCATCTGGGAAAACTGCCCAGGAATGTCTGTGCTCGTTGTTTCAGCTCAATAGTCATATACCATTGCTTGGTTGTATAGCTTAAAAGAGAAATATTATCAGAGAAGACTTTTTATTTTCAATGTGATTATTAACGTTTAACAAAAAATCTAAGTTTTTTTTAAATCTTTTATTTTATCTAAAAAACTAGGTAAAACAAACTAAGACTGATTTTTTTTTTTAAAGCATAGATTTATACATACACATGATTAAAGTCATAAATTTTATATCTAAATTTCATGTTTTTATACAGTTTCTTAAGATTGGAAGCTGGTAAAATGATGTGTACTGATATTTGATTTGCTTTTTGTATAATTGCATAGATCACTGTATCAGTAGCAGTTCAATTAAAAATGTTTAAGGTCATTATCTGTGACTGCCTGACACTAAGTCTCACATTTCAATTTCTGTTCTACTATCAGTATTTTCTTTTTTCTTTGCCTATTATTTCTAGCTACCAACAAAAATATACATTCCCTGCATTTCTACAATTATAATTTACATAGGATTAAATTCACTAGCTAGTTCAAGGGAAGTTTCATCTTTTGATGAAACAAAAAAGAAACATTTTTTTTGGTTTGTTTGTTTGTTTTCATACATTGAAGAAAATTTTAATGTCCATAGAAAATGAGAGAATAGTGTAAACATTAAATACAATAATTAAAAACCAAAAACATAACTTAGTCCATAATGAGTTCCTACCCATTTACACTGTGCAAAATAGTGAAAGTGAATAAATAAGTTCTGGTGAGAAAATCCAATGTCAATGTGTCTTTAACAGACATTCATTGTTTTACATTTTAAATGTATAGATATGCTAAAACATTTAAACCTAAGGTGACTGTTAATCCATTGGGACTAGTAATTGTTATTTCCAGAGCCAGGAATGAATTTCTCCTCTTATGAGCTAGACCTTCACCTTCACCTACAATAAGACTAATGAATGTCCCTTTCTAGCAGTGACATTACTAAGAAGGACATCAGCATTATTCACATGTAACATCATTAACTATGCGAAATTCGGAAAATCGGAAAAGTGTGCTTTTTTTACCATTATAAAATGCAGTAACTCAGCTTTAAATTAAAAAAAAACCTCAATTTATATTTTATTCACAAGCTCGTCAGTTTCAAAGCAGCTCTATCGGGTTTCATTTTAATCTTTAAAAATGTGATTTTTTTTTTTTTGATTTTTTTTTTACTAAACAGGTTAATACAGTTATTCATTTCAAATTTATGGCTATGAAGGACATTTGTCCCCTAAATGATATTGCCTGAAGGTATAATACCTGAAATAAATATAAATGTGTTAATCAGATGGGAAAGTACATATTGTTTTATTTTCATTTGCATGGCATAGATTGTTAATTATTTCTTTTTGCCTTCATGCAGTTGTAAATGTTATGTATACAGGTATCTAATGATATTATAAGTTTACAATACTATGTTTACTCCAAATCGGTGTTCTTAAAATTGCCTTGCATGCTACTTCCCAAAAACGACATGACACTATGCGGAGTCTTGCAGTGGCCTTTATAGCATTCACGCAATTCCATCCAATTTTCATTTCATATGTCATTGCCGAAGATGCTACGCTATCTTATTTGTGCGTCATCATTTATAATAAAGTTACATAGACTAGATATGATAGAAACAGTGCAACAAATGCTAATGCCTGTCATTGATTATGGGGATGTCGTGTATACAACTGCATCGCAAACCCAGCTTAATAAACTTAATACGTTACATAATTCATTCTGCCGCTTTGTACTAGAATGTAATTACTTACCTGAGCAGAATGCTCTCCCCAGCTGTTCCCACCTCCTGTAACCTCCGATCCAGTACTAGCACAATATTTAACATACCACAATACAAAAATAAAGTGGCTCGATCCTCATTTTCCTACAGAGCACCGCAATTATGGAATAACCTCAGGGACACAGTCAAATCTTCATCTAAAGTGCCAGGATTGCAAATCTTCAATCTAAAATCTTTCAAGAGATTTATGGTAATATACCTCAGCACAGAATGCACCTGTCATGGTTGAACATATTTATCACCTGTTATGTGTTAAATTAATATATATGTGTGTATATATAGATAGATAGATAGATAGATAGATAGATACAGGTGATACTCGAAAAATTTGAATATAGTGCAAAAGTTCATTTATTTCAGTAATGCAACATAAAAGGGGAAACTAATATATGAGATAGACGCATTACATGCAAAGCAAGATAGGTCAAGCTGTGATTTGTCATAAGTGCGATGATTATGGCTTAAAGCTCTTCCCTTCTCCTGCAAAGAAACGAACACCAGTTCATTCGGGACTTTCATTATGTGAACAATGTTACCCCAGAGAGTTATGCCATGGAGTCCATTCGTATACCGAAAGACTGTATGAAAGACTCTTTTTTTTTTTGTAAAAGAAACGTTTGGTGCGGATCATATCTCTGCTGTCGCCTAATGTCTGTCAGTTCCCTAGTTGTGCGTGGGGTGGCCCTTTGTTTATTTTGCATTTCGGTTTATTTTGCAAGAGGTAACTTATGGTTGAACAGACATATAGTTGAAATTCCAGGTATTATTTATGTTCTGTTTTGATCAGACGTTGTACAAATGCCTCCGTCCTTAAGGTGTTATTGAAGCAGTTTTAGTTGAACATAATTTCTCACTGCTTAGTTCTGTGCCATTTAGGAGTTAAATTACTTTTGTTTCTGTTTATGCAGCCCTAGCCACACCTCACCTTGGTGTGACTCACTCAGCCTGCATGACAAAAAATATATATTATTTCCCCTTTAAAGAAATCTACACTTTTACCTAAAATACGACAACATGTAATTGTTCAGAAAGATTCTGTACAACACCATCAGCAAACACACGTAGATAGGCATTTACTATATAGCTCCAAACCACAAAGAGAGAGAGTGACCGCAATGCAGACATTAAAAAGTAGAACCCCAGATAGACAAACCAGTTGACAAAAGAGTTGGTTTGGTGATACTCCTGGCAGAAATGTACATGACTGAAGCGTATAGACAAATAAATGAAACAGATGTATAAAGCAATCTTTTACTTAATTCCACTTTTTATATTAAATCTATTTTAAAATCATTTTTAGACAAGGGAAAAGATCCTAATATTTTAAATGCACAAGAATATTAATATATTAACATAATCTACCCGACAATTACAGTTATTTCTTTTTTTACCTAAGACTCATAACAAAAAAGAAAATCCCCTTGGTCACCCAATACTATCTAGAATTAATTCTGTTTTATCGAATTTATCAAAGTATATTGATATTTTTTTTGCAATCATATGTCCGGCATTTTAAATCATACCTCAAAGATAGTATTAGCCTTTTCTAAACTTTAAACTATTTTAAATCGGGGAACCTACCTATTTTTTGTTTACTAGTGATATACAGTCCCTTTATACAATCATCCCACATAATATTGGATATGCCTCAATTAAGAGTATACTTGAGAAAGCAGGAAATATTTCTACCACTAAAATAGATTTTATTATAGAAGGTATAACCATGATTTTAAACAATATTATTTTTGGTTTTATGATTCCTTTAATCCCTTAAGGACCAAACTTCTGAAATAAAAGGGAATCATGGCCTGTCACACATGTCATGTGTCCTTAAGGGGTTAATCTGCAGAAACAGGGGATTGCTGTGGGGACCAGGGTTGCCACAAGCTACGCAAATTTGTTCATGGTGGATTTGGAGAATTCTACTATATGGTCCCACCACCAATGGGAGTCAAATCTGGTCCAATACAAATATTATATTCATTATCTATTTTTTATTTGGAATAACAGAAATTTTTACTTACCGTAAATTCTTTTTTTCTTAATATGATGGCAGTACTACTGGGTTTTGCTCCTCCCTGTGGACAAGACATCTAACAAGTAATTAAAGATCAAAAAGACCCTCCCCCTTGCCCTATAAAATGCCGTACCGCAAAACCTACCACAGTACATGACAAGAAAAAGAAACACAGACAAAATATATACTGCAAAATTTCTTTAATAAAGAGGGAGGGAAGCAGTACTGCCACCATATTAAGAAAAAAAAGAATTTACGGTAAGTAAAAATTTCAGTTTTTTCTGTCATATGGTTGCAGTACTACTGGGATATAGCAAGATCCCCATCTGGGCGGGACTTAGGCCACCACAACTTGTAACACCTTACGCCCAAAAGCTGCTTCAGCGGCAGAGAAAATGTCTAGCCGATAGTGCTTGATAAAAGTTTTAAAAGACGACCAGAATGCTGCCTTGCACATGACCTCTGGAGATGCAAGTGCTTTTTCTGCCCAAGAGGTAGCCATTGCTCGGGTAGAATGGGCCTTAAGTGTAGCTGGAGACTGAAGACCAAGTACGCCAATTCTATAGCTTGAATGAGCCAACAGGATAGGTTACGACGGGAAGCTACATTCCCCT